GAGTCCACCTGGACTCCCACGGCTGAGCAGGCAGGAGCAGAGTCCACCTGGACTCCCACGGCTGAGCAGGCAGGAGCAGAGTCCACCTGGACTCCCACGGCTGAGCAGGCAGGAGCGGCAAGGGATCCACCACGGGGGCTGTGTGCAGCAACATGATCAGGAGAAGATGCGTCTGGGTCTATGGGCTCAGGACAGGTTGTGTCCTCACATAGCGTGGATGATACAGAGGCTGCAGGAGATGGAAAAACTACAGGGACTGTGGTAGGCATGGGAGGGACCACAGGGGCTGCAGCTGTGAGGAACTCTTCTGCGACTGGATTGTCTGGGGCTGGATCTTGGTTTGGGCTGGCTGCTACGGGTTCTGGTACTGCAGCGGGTTCTGGTCTGGCTGCTACAGGTTCTGGTCTGGCTGCAGGCTCTTCAGTGTGTGACGAGAAAAAAAACAGGATCGAGTTCAGCTCTTAGTTTCATGGAAAATTGAAAGATCACCTGATGAACCGATGTGCTGAGCAGGTCAGGCTGTGAGAGGAATATATCCAAGAGTTGGTCCACCAGACGTCTTCTATTTGTAACTCTGTCTCTTGGAGTTATTCTGAGAATCATTATAGAGCCTTTGATGAGAGGATGAGCCACCTGGTCCTCTACAGAAGGCAGCTCAGGGATTTGGTCATCCTCAATAGGAGCAGGAAGCGATTGCCCAACACGCTGGCTGGCCCCCCTTCGTCCACTCCACAGACGAACCGGGGGATGACTGCTCCCCCCCCTGCGAAATTCTCCCCTGTTTTGCAGGTTCTGGCTGAGGAGAGCAGGCCGGAGGCTGGGACCAGGAGGAGGCGGAACCAAAAAAACTCAGCCTCGCCGGGCTGAATGCGAGGAGCTGGAAATACAGGTGATGTGGGCGGAAGAGCAGCGGACCGGTTCCGTCTTCTCTTTCCCTTTTGGCGGCGATGTGGGTGGCGTACCAGGGCGAACCAGAGTTCGTCCTCTGACTCGGCGTCCTCCCCAGACGTCCACCCAGAGCAGACTGGTGAGTAGGAGGGACTGAACCTGGGTGCTGTGTGGTTCTTTTGGAGCTGAGATCTTCGTCTCTCCTCCTGCAGTAAGAGAGGCGAAGGCAGAACTTCGACTGCCTGGCCGTGGCTTCTCAGTCCCAGGACGGGTCTAGTCCAAAAGGCACCGCACCAGATCGCAGCTCCCTCCATCTGGACAGGCTCGGGCAAAAACAGGTGAGCAGAGTCTGACTGAGCCTGCCTGCTGGGTTCAGGTTTTGGTCGGTTCGTACTGTCAGGGTTTTCAAGGCAGATCAGGACAGGAGAACCCAGTTGCGCAGGCAGGACTCAGGAGGCAGACGTATAAAATAAAATACTTTTAATAATAAGAATAATAAATGAAAAGGCTGACATGGCAGCAAAACTTACAACATGGACTCAAGAACAGGATCAGACAGACAGGACAGGCAATACCCAACGACGAACCGACAACGACAGAACTGACAGACAGACTTTAAATACACACAACCAGGACATGACACAGGTGACGATAATCAAATAATCAATACAGACACAAGGGAGAACAGACAGGGGCAAGGCCCACTAGATGGTGCCATCCCTACATAAACTAAATATCAGGTTTTGTGTGTAGATGTGACCCAACAATGAAGGCTGCTCGAAGGATATAAAGTAAGATAATCAGACAATGGAAACAAAAAGCAGACTAAAACGCATCGGTTTACAAACCACAATTAAACAAAAAACTGTCTGAGCAGCAAACTCCTATTTGAACAGGCTGAGGGAGTAATGAGGTAAGTGGCTGTGGCTGCAGAGTCCTAATGAGAATGGGAAACAGGTGTGAGATGAAAACCAAGACCAAGGAATAAAATGGTGGCACAGAAGACCTGAATGCCCAAAATACAAAAGGAAAAAAAAAAAAAACAGCAGACAAAGCATAGCAACAAAACCCAAACAATAAATATTAAATATAAAAAACAATCCTGACATTAAAATTACTTAACAGTAGCTGCATTGAACTTTAATCAATCTTGGGACAGGTACTTAAATTTAAACAGTTTTCACAATATTTTGTTTTAGGTAAGTAAGTTGCAACTGCTTATTTATTTATTTTTGCCTTTCAGCTACTTTTATCAAGTTTTAAACAGTTTTTGCATAATTTTAGTCAACTATATTTAGTCAATCCAAAAAAGTTCAATCTGGTCCTCTGGACATTCAAAAAAACAAAAAACAAAACAAAGCAAAAAAATCTAGAAGTTTGTTTTTTGTTTTTTTGAATGTCCAGAGGACCAGATTGAACTTTTTTGGATTTTTCTACCTGGATTATTGAGCATGCATCAGGATATATTTAGTCAACTTTAACTTATCATTGGAGAAATTCTCTTGTTCACTAATGTTTACTCTAAAAAACCACAACCCATGGCAGATGCAGGATTTGTAACATGCATTTTACTTGCAAGGACTCATAGGACAGGTTACACATAAATATAAATGAATGCATAAGCATGAAGACATGTCACAGAAATGAGCAGGGAACAATGTTATCTGCTGACTTTTACAGCATTAGCAGCTCAGCAGAGTTCAGCGGGCGTCCTTCAAGGCAGCTGCAGCCGTCTCACATGACACTTTATCTTCACAACCATGCTTCACGGGCATCACAGAGACATCGCGAGTATAGGCCGAGAACTCTCCACTGTGTCTCGAACCAAGAGCTTTGAGATAAGAAAATGTTTTGAGAGACAGTTGAGCTGCTTATTCTCAGGGCAGAGGGGAATAATGTTCTCCGCTACAATAATAAAACAATAAAAACATTCCAAAAATTCTCTAACACTTCTTGGCTGTGTTACACAATAAAAACCATGGGGGGGTTGATCACTTTCAGGTCTAAATTGTTGACCTAAATCGAGTCAAAAAGTTTGACCCAGTGTCCAGGTCTGAGATGAGCTGTGTCAGCTCTTCACAGGCCGCCATTTTAGACCAGAAGTCGATCAAACTGGACCTAACTGGACCTCTATCTTGTAAAATGATATTAAACCTGATTTTATTAATAACTTTCTTGCACTAAGCATTCAGTTTGAGTTAATAAAATAACATGTGTTTTGACATACGCTAACATTGCTCTAGTTGCTAGCTAGATGATGCTAATGGAAGTTAACACCAGCTTGCTAACATTAACCAAAGTTTTATTTACTGTATACCATTTAAAATATGTCAGTGACAAAAGACGTAAGCTGATTCCCAAAATCCTCAGGTAAATTTTGATCAAAAGTGTCAGGTTGCAATTACAGTAGTCCCTCGTTTATCACGGGGGATCCATACCCTGAAGACCCACGATAAGTGAAAAACCACAAAGTAGGAATAGTAATAGGCATTTGAAACCTTTCCCACACTCTTGCAATATTCTAAACAATGTTTATAAACTCTAAACGCTCTAAAAGAGCACAGAATGTCATGATTTCAGCTTTCTGCTTCAGCTGCTCTTTGCCACCTGCAAGCACTCTTGGCCACGCCCACTTCTCCGCTCTGCATGGAGAACAGCTGATCAGCTGCAGCAGGAAGTTTATGCAGTGTGGGCTGCACAAAGGTGCAGGAGGTGCTAAATCATTCAAAATAATTTATTTTAAATACAAATTCCATGCCGATCGTGCGGCTCATCCATCAATCAGCCAACTGTGTGTCATGTCCACTCTTATTTTGAAAAATCGCTAGAGTGAGTCTGCAACAAACGAACCGCGAAATAGTGAGGTAATGTACGTAAAATATAGTTCACCATTATCTGTTTATGCAAATTACATCAACTAACTAAAATTCTTAGTTTGGTTTAAATAATCTTTATTGTTTGTAATTAATGCTGTTCAAAACCCATTTTTATAGTGTAAAATTCTGCCATTTTTCTTGTATTGGATTTAGTTTGGACTTGTCCATTTCTATTAAGTTGTGTATTTTAAATAAATTACTCCGTGTTTCAGTGTGATTTTTATTGATGATAATTTGTCATTTTAAATGTGAAGGTATGTTTGTTACAACAAACACCAGCAGAGGAAAAATAAAGTGCTTTTTTTTTAGTTCTCGCTGTTTTCGTCCTTCAGGTGAAAAAATGGTGCCACCGTCCATTACTCTGCTTCCTAACAAGAAATCTCCAACAAACGGCCACAGCTCTCCTGTTCGGACGGGAAAAACAAGTGAGTAATCCTCTTGCTGCATTAATCCCGCTCGTCTGTCCCGCGTGTTTTCATCTGGAGGCACTCAGCGTGTTTGAGGCGGCTGCACATTTTCTAGAAAGTCCTGACGAGTTGCATCTGCAGAGTTTCAGTGTTGTGAGATGAGCTCAGCTGCAGGAACTGAATCAGCACGAGGGAAGTGATGAGCACATCAAGGGCACATTCCTCTTCATCTCCTGCAGCAGTGTGGCACTTCGTCCTTGGGCCGTTCCGCAACATGATGCTCCTCATCCCCATTCAGCCTCACTCTCGGTTTGTGAGAATGCTCAGCTCAGACTGATGTGATGTGTGTGATTCCAGCTCCTTCCAGCTCGGAGAAGAGGCCGCAGGTGAACGGACACGCGTCCCCTTCACATCTGGCAGGGAACGTTGGAAACGGCCACGGAGGTAAACCAAGTGAGTGTTTTTAATCGTCATCGCCCGCTGAATGGCTGTGTGTGTGCCTGTTTGTGAATCTGTCTGTCAGCATAATATCTCATATCCCACTGGATGAATCTTAATGAAACACTCAAAATACTCACTGGATGTGCACCTACAACTGATTGAGTTTCGGGTCAACCCCCTATTCAAGATGGCCGCTCCAGCTAATCAACATAAGCCAACGCAATCATATCTACAACTCAGCCATTTTACCAGAAACAGAGCTAAAACTTGATGTGGTAGTAGCTGAGAGTCGTTCACAACATTGAGTGTGACATCTCACAACATTGCTTAAGATTACACAAAACAACTTTGACCATCACTTCTCAGCAGATTATTGTCCCCCGTCATGGAGCGAAGAGGGTGGAATCGAAAATACCCTCCATCTGTCTGTCTGTCCGTGCATGTTGTGACCATGATAACTTGGAAAAAAAAAGGGAGGTACAGACTTCAGTTTTCATGTGTGGCTACATCTAGGTGTAAAAAACGTTTATTTTCAAAAATTGGGTTGTCACGTCACAGTCCAAGATGGCTGCCACCTTATATGTACATTTGAAAACTACATGAGCTGGATGACTTGGGGGGGGGGGGGGGGCGGGAGAGCAATGCGCTGACTTCTACAGTATTTTGGTATATGGCTGCAATGAGGCGTAAAAATATCAATATCAAAAATTGGGTTGCCAAATTAAAATCCAAGATGGCCACCACTCTATGTATGTAAACCAACCGCCTGCATTATTTGAGGAAACTATGCTTTCTAGTTTTTATTTTGCTTAAAAATATAGTTTCTTAAAATGATTGGGGTGGCCTTTTGGGTGACCAAAAATTAATCTATGTTTGCCAAGGCCACCAATGGCCACCCCTTGGCTCCACCATTGCACCTGGAGGTTGATAAAACTGCTCCCTCCAGGATCCGTCACTCTGCGCTGCCTCTAAACATTCACAAATACTCCTTAATCAAATCTCTCGGAGATGAAGGATTTTGGTGTACCACTTCTTTTGCTTTAAAACTTCAAGGAATGCTAGGACTTTATTTATTTTCATTTCACCTCTTGTTTTTAATCTAAAGTGTTTTCTTTCATCTTTCAGCGTTGGAGGCTTACATGAAGACCGATGACCGGATGCGTTTAGCCAAAGAGCGACGTGAAGAGAGGGAGAAAAGCCTGGGTTGGTGATGTTGTCTATTTTCATCATAGCAAAGCTCTGAACTGCCTCTGGCTTCTAAACTTCCTCTAAAGTTTGTGTGGGCGCGTCCACCATCGCCCCTCTTGCTGTCTAACTGGATATAGAAGCACTTGGAGGATTCCTTCAGAGTTCAGTGGGTTTCAGTTTCAGATCTGATAAGCTGTGTCACTGTGGACAGTTGACGCGGACACAAAGTAGGTCCTCCACTCAGGGATAATCCTGCAGCTCCAGCGGTTCCCTGGAGACAACGATTTCTGTCTTCATTGTTTAATCTCGAGAAGGGGTTGAAAAATGAAATCAAGCTCACAAGTTCTTAGATAAAATAATCATATTTGAAACTAAAATCTAGATAAATCACTTTTTCTGTGAAAACACAGTGTGAACGCTGCACCCTGAATAACGACTGACAAACAGTTGATAAAAGAAGCAGAACACTTGACAGACTGAAAAATGTTAGATTGTATACCTGGATTATTGAGCATGGACTTTGTTGTTTTCAACCAGTTTGACAAGACTGTCAACAAGGAAGAAGGCTGGCAATGGAGGAGGGGGCGTACCAAAGAGACCATCTTATCACAAGCAGAACTGGTTTGTTCCACTTTGGAGTAAGCTGTTGGGGGAAGAATCAGTTTTGTTGTGTGTTTCCTTGACTGGTGAAGCCTTCCGGACCGAAGGCGAAACGTTTCAGCACAAAAAAAAGAAACTGTCCAGATGACCTGACTGAAAAATGTTGGATTGCATACCTGGATTATTGAGCATTGACTTTTTTGAAGCAGAACAATTGTTAAAGCTAAAACAAGCTAAATGCTAGGTAAAAGCCAAAATCAGCAAAACATTGCTTAATCCGAAAGTAGCAAAGGTCTCATTAAAAAACTGAAAGTAGGAGAAGGATAAACAAAAGCAGCAATACAACAGCTAGAAGCTAAAATATCAAAGCTGAAAGTTGCAAAAGAATATCCAAAAGTAGTAAAGGGTTAGCGATAAGTTAAAATATCAAAAGGCTAGCTACATAGAAGCTTTAAAAGGAGTAAAATCCATTAAAAAAATCTGCAAAATATTAGCTAAAAGCAGGGCTTAATTTGTAAACCAATCGATGCCAGAACACAAATAGCGGTGGGCCGGGGGTGGGAGGGTCCTCCCCCAGAGTTTTACAAATAAAATTGATGTGATTTCCCTGCTTGTTGTTGTCCGACTCCACATGTGAAACCTCCAAACGCCTGCCTGCGACTGTGATCTCCTGAATGCGTACGGCTGCCTGATTAGTTCGGCACTCACCCCCACCACTGTTTTAGGTGCAGAGATTTTTTTAGTGTAGATGCGGAAATGCTACTTGAAGAGGCTGTTCTAATGCTGTTGTGTTTAAAATTAGTGTTTATGTCATTACTTTCAGTTTACATATACAATATAAATTTTATTCGTTCAAGGCAGTCATCCATCCATCCATTTTCTTTACCCGTTTATTCCATTTTGGGTCACGGGGGTCGCCGGTGCCCATGTCCAGCAATCACTGTGCGAGGGGCGGGGTACACCCTGGACGGGTCGCAAGTCCATCACAGGGACACATAGAGACAAACGAGACAAACAACCATTCACTCTCTCACTCACACCTAGGGACAATTTAGAGTTACCAATCAGCCTAACATGCATGTTTTTGGTCTGTGGGAGGAAACCGGAGTACCCGGAGAAAACCCACGCATGCACGGAGAGAACATGCAAACTCCACCCAGAAAGGCCCCCGGACCGGGATTTGAACCAGGGACCTGCTCGCTGAGAGGCAGCAGCTCTACCAGTTGCGCCACCGTGCTGCTTCAAGGCAGTCATATTTGTTCATAACTTTATTATTAGTAAGCCTGAGAGTTACCGGATCTAAGCAAACAGTTACCAGAACGCACCCTGTCAAAATAAGATATTTTTTTCCCATTCAACCTTTATTTATACAGGCTAGCCTCATTGAGCCACGGGGACTCATTTGCAAGAGGGACCTGTTCCAGACAGAACATATAAAGTACAGACAACAAGAGCATTCCCAGATCCTATTCCGGCAAGATCCGGATCAAATTAAACACTGGCTAAATGTAGCAAAAGCTTGTTAAGAACTAAAATTAGCAATGTGCTAGCTAAAACCTAAAAGTAGTAAAATACTAGCGAGAAGATAAACATGTCAAAAGGCTAGCTGCATGAAAGCTCTAAAAGTAGTGAAATGCAAGCCAAAAAAAACAAACGGCAAAGGTTTTAGATGAAAGTTGAAAGTAGTAAAAGGTTAGCTATAAACTAAGAGTAGCAAAATGCTGCCTAAAAGCAAAAATAGCAAAAAGCTAGGTACAAGTATCGATGTAGCAAAAGCTTAGCAAAAAACAAAAAGTAACAAAATGTTAGCTCAAAAAAGACGAAAATAGAGAAAGTTTACTTATACTGAAGCAAAATTCAATAAAAACATGTTTTTGAAGGAATTACACAACTGAAAGTATTTATATGGAGGAAATATTTATACATTAAGTTAAATATTTCAAAAAGTTAAATGTTTTAAAAAGCACAATTTTAACTATACGTTAAAATTACAGAAGTAGTTTTTGCAAAAAGCATACAAAAATAATAAACTGTGTGAATCCTGAACTACCATATGTATTCAAATAATCAGTCATCATATTATATATTTTTAAAATAAATTAAAAGTCTGATGAAAAAAATTCTTTGTGACTTTTCCTCTGTACATGAACAATTACATCTTTAAAAGCTGACTGGCTCAGCAGGAACTTTTGTCTCTTCCAGCTGCCAGGGAGCAGCTGATCAGGGAGAAGGAGCGCAGAGCTCGGCTGCAGTACGAGCGCACCGTGGAGGAGCGCTGGAGGCGTCTGGAGGAGCAGCGGCAGAAGGAGGAGTTCCGCAGAGCTGCAGTGGAGGAGAAGAGGAGGCTGCAGCTCGAGGAGGAGAGGGTCAGATAACTGATAAATGGCAGTTCCACATACTGATGTTTTATACTGAAAACCTCATCCATCCATCATCCATCCATCCATCCATTACCTTTACCTGCTTCTTCCTTTTTGGGTCACGGGGGTCACTGGTGCCCATATCCAACAGTCTCTGTATGAGAGGCGGGGGACACTAAACACTCATTTCTGAAATTTCTGATTTAATTTTTTGTTTTGTTTTTTATGCTCTTTCGTGTTGTGTTCAGGAGCGACTGGAGGCCCTGATGAGACGTTCTCTGGAGCGAAGCCTTCAGCTGGAGCAGAGGACAAAACGCTGGAGCAGGGGCTGCCCTTCAGGAGCAGGTAACAACAGAGCATTCAGGCCAGAATACAAACTGTTAGAAGGAAATGCATTGATGAGCATGATATAGCTTGAACTGACTCAAAACAGATAAATATAGACACGAAAAACCCACATTTTAATACAAAGACTGTACATTTTCTGGGTGTACTTTGAGTTCACACTAAAGTGTGCATGAATGACCAAAAATGAATGCGTTCCCCATTTTTCCCTAATATGGAATGACATTTCTGTATTTAAATATTTTTAAATTAGATTTTTTTAAGCTCCTGTGAACAACAGAACCGGCTTAAACGTAAACCTAACTAAAAAAATTGTTTTTCCATGAAAACACGGCGAATACTGAGAGCTGAATGACTTGAGAAGTTTGTTAAAGAAGCTGAAATTGAGTTGTTAAAGCTATGAGAAGCAGAAAATTTGTGAAAGCTGAAAGTTGCAAAATACAGGCCTAAAGCTAAGATGAGTAAAATGTTAGGTAAAAGTATAACATGCAAACTAAAAAGTAAAAGTAGCAAAAATGGTATAAGGTAAAAATAAGCAAAATGCTAACTTAACATTAAAAGTAGCAAAACACGAGCTAATGGGTAAAAGTAAAAATGATAGCTAAAAGTTGCAAGAAGAAAAACTCATGCTTAAAAGTAAGAAACCCCCATCTAAAAGCTAAAACTAGCAATGCATTAATTAGAAGTTAAAACACACTATTTAAAAGAAGCTAAATGTCAGCTAAAGGCAAAAAATGAGCTAAAAGTAACAAAACACTAGCCAAAAGCAACAAAATACTATCTAAACGCTAAATGTAGCATGGGGAGACAAAGTAAGCTGATGCAGATTTAAAGAGAATAATGTTTTAGAAAAATTAGATGTTATAATGATGATATATTTATAAGGAGTTTTTTTTTTTTGTAAATAAAGTTAAATATTTTGAAATGTGCACAAGTTACAAAACAAAAGTCCGTAATGTCATCAACAATAGTTATAAAAGCACATCATCGCTGAATGCAAAAAACAAGACAAATAAAGAGAAAAAGGATTACTAAAGTGTCTCGACTACCGGCACTTGTAGAAAAGCAGCATATGGTAGCTTTAAATAGACAAAAAATATATATTTATTCACTGCATCTCAGCTTCCCTGCTGGTACGCAAACTCCTGCTCAGTCTCCACAGCTGGATGAGACTCTTTTCATTTATTTTTTGTTCAGATAAGTTCTTGATAATGCTCTGTCTGCTCTGCTCTGCTCCGCCTGCTGCCTATAGGTGACTGTGAGAATGCCCCTCTCCCTTTCTCTGCTGCCTCCGCCTTTGCCTCCCCCATTCCTGCCGTCAGCGAATCGGGTAAAGTTTAAGCCCCCTCACCATCCCAAACGAGTCTACCTCGTGTTCATCTGAATATGTCAGTGTGACTGTGTCTGTATTTAGTCTCAAACGCCCCCAAAACACAGGAAAACGTGTTTTTCTTGTACTGCACGCTTATTTATTGCTCCTATGTGCAAGCTGTATTGCTCCAGTTTGTGTGCTAATTTGTATGCACAACAGGCTGCATATGTGTTTTGCTGTGTTTGGGCTGCTCTGCCTCAGGGATTCAAATTGCTGAACAGATTTTGAGAATCAAATATTAGCTTTAAAATTAGCTAAGCATGTGTTTAAACAAACCAAGCATTTCTATAGAGACAGTTTACAGAACTGTAAGCGTTACCACCTGCAGGAATAAGAGCTACAAGAGAAGCTGTAGCACCAGGCCACACTTCATAGAGGAACCATGTTTTTCTCTTAATCCATCACACACAGCTTATTTATTTGCCCAAGTAAGCATGTGCTTTCAGTGACTGAATCTCTCTACAAACTGCCTCAAAAGTCGACCTCTGGATTAGTTTCCACAGCTTAGTAAACTGCCATGTAATTACAAATATGCCAAAGAGCACTGAAGCAAGATCACACGAAAATCTGAGTAACACTCGGGCTTTTATTTTATCAGTTGGTTGACAAGTTCAAAGTGTTTTATAAATTTCATTACTTTGATTTTGATAACCTGGGATTAATGCTTCAAAATGACAGCAGCTAAGTGGTGCTGACTTTGGCTTTGAGCAGCAGACGGGATAAATCAGATGACCTAGAATTGAAACATGTGCTCTAAAATAGCCACAGATGATGTCAGCCCAGTGAGATCACTGTTCTATTTAGAGATGGTTCTTTATGATAGATTGTTCTAACAATGGATATCAAAAAGACTATTTATAGTTTAGTTCAATGTTGACTATATTTTGAGGCTTGCTTTTGTCATTATGTATAAGCACCACGTCTGTGTTTTCTTTTCATTTCCTGTCATTATTTTAGGTGTGTCAAAACACTAGGAAAAAAGATCTTAATTGTTTTTCCAAGGCACTGTGCTAAAATGATATATTTCTTTATTTCACAGTATAGTATAGTATAGTATAGTATAGTATAGTATAGTATAGTATAGTATAGTATAGTATAGTATAGTATAGTATAGTATAGTACAGAATTGCACAGTATGATATAACACAGTATAGTATAGTATAGCACAGTATAGTACAATATTGTATAACATAGTAAAGTATAGTATAATACAGTATAGTATAGTGTAGTGTAGTATAGTATAGCACAGTATATCACAATATGGCATGGGACAGTTCAGTTTAATAAAGAATTGCATGGTATTAGTACAGTCCAGTGTAGTATAGTACAGTATAGTATAGTACAGTATGTAGTAAGACATATATGCTGAGATATATTCATACATTTACGGGTTCTTCATTTTTCTGACTGTGTAAATGTCGTGCATTGACTCTAACAGAAATGTAACGAGAGACGTTATTTATCTTTGACCCATCAAAATGAATGCGGTCATTTATTTGCAGAATCAAAGTTTAACATCAAACATTTACATTAATTTGGCAAAATATGAAAACAATAACATGGCTAGTTTCACAGGAAGTGGGAACAATACGGCGATTATCCTCACTTTTCAGCAGAACAGCAGACATCAATCACACGGCGGTGATTGAGAACTTTGCTTCAGACATTTCTAAAATATCTGTAATGATTTTAGGAGAAAGGAGAGTTTAAGATGGAAAATGGAGATTTATCTTACAGAGAGATGTGGGAGGGAATTTATCTGTTTGACCAGAACGGGCACGCTCCTTCAGATCTCAGCTTGGCCATGGTACGCTTGGTCGAAATAGAACTTTTACCTGGTTGATGATAGATCAGGTCGGCGTGAAGTCCTTCTTTTGACTCTTTCAGCGTCTCCGTTGAGAACAGCTAAAATACTTCGAGAGTCGTGCGAGGTTATCCAAACAGAAGTTATAATTCCCAAAATCGTCCCTGCATTCTGGATTCAAGAATTCTGAACTCCTTCAGAACTCTATCCGTCACATCTC